TTTTTCTGAAGAAAGGTCTAGGCCCGAAACGTCAGCTTTCCTGCTCCTCTGATGCTGCTTGGCCTGCTGTGTTCATCCAGCTCTACACCTTGTTATCTCTGATATATTTTGAAGTCAGGTTGGTGTGTGGCTTGGAGGGGAACTTGCAGGTGGTGTTTCCATGTATCTGCTACCCTTTTCCTTCTTGATAGAAGTGGTCGTGAATCTGGAAGGTGCTGTATAAGGATCTTTCGTGAATTTCTGCAGTGCATCTTGTAGATGTTACTCACTGCTGCGACTGAGAATCAGTGTTGGAGGGAGTGGTTGCTTGTCGATGTGGTGTGAATCAAGTGGGTCCTATTACCTGGATGGTGTCAAGCTTCTTTACTGTTGTTGGAGCTGCACCCATCCAGGCAAGTGTGGAGTACTCCATCACAATCTTGACTTGTGCCTTGTAGATTGTGGATAGGTTTTCAGGAGTCAAGAAGTGAGTTACGCACTGCTGTATTCCTAATCTCTGACTTGCTATTGTAGCCGCTATGTTTAAGTGGCAAGTCCAGGTGAGCTTCTGGTCAATAGTAACCCCAAGGATATTGGTAGTGGGGGATTCAGTGATAACAACTCCATGGAAAGTACAAAGGATAGTGATTAGATTGTCTCTTATCAGAGATGGTCATTGCCTGGCATTTGTGTAGCGCAAATGTTAGTTGCCACTTGTCAGTCCAAGCCTGGATATTGTCTAGATCTTGTTGCATTTGAACGTGGACTGCTTCAGTATTTGAGGAGTCATGAACGGTGCAGTCTGTTGTGCAATCAAACATTCCCACTTCTGATGTTATGATTCAGGAAAGGTCATTGATGAAGCAGCTGAAGATAGTTGGGCCTAGGATATTACCCTGAGGAACTCTGCAGATATTTCCTGAAGCTGAGATGACTGACCTCCAACAACCACAACCACATCTTCCTACATGCCAGGAATGACTCCAATCAGCAGAGAGTTTGCCCCCTCATACCTAATGATTCCGGTTTTGGCAGGGCTCCTTGATGCCTTGTTTGGTCGAATATGACCTTGTCAAGGGCTATCACTTCCACCTCACCTCTGGAATTTATCCCTTTTGTTCATGCTTGAGCAAAGGCTGTAATGGTGTCAGGAACTGACTGGCCCTGGTGGAACCCAGACTGAGCAGGTGCTGCTTGATAGCAGTGGTGATGACATCTTCCATGACTTTACTGACGATCGAGAGTAGACTGATGGGGTGGTAACTGGCTGATTTGGAGTTGTCCTGCCTTTTGTGTACAGGACACACCTGGGCAATTTTCTACATTGTTGGGTAGATGCCAGTGTTGTAACTATACTGGAACAGTTTGGGTAGGGGAGCGGCAAGTTCTGGAGCACAAATGTTGTCAGGGCCTGTAGTCTTTGCAGTATGCAGAGCCTCCAACTGTTTCTTGATAACATAGAGTAAATCAAATTGGCTGAAGACTGTTTCTTCAGAACTTCTTCAGATCTTAAGAAAGGTCACTGCCCTCAAAATGTTAACTCTGTTTCCACTCCACAGATGCTGCCAGACCTTCTGAGTTTTTCCAGCAATTTCTGTTTTTGTTTGTGGCTGAAGACAGGTATCTGTAATGCTGGCGACTACTGGAGGAGGCCGAGATGGATCATCCACTTGGCCGTTCTGGCTGAAGATTGCTGCGAATGCTTTAGCCTTATGTTTTGCAGTTGTGTGTTGGTTATTTCTATCATTAAAGATGGGGATATTTGTGGAGCCTCCTCCCCCAGTGAGTATTTTAATTGTCTATTACCATTCAAAACTGGATGTGGCAGGACTGCAGAGCTGTCTGATCTGTTGGTTGTGGGATCACTTGCTGCATATGCTGTTTAGCATGCAAGTAGTCCTGTTTGGTAACTTTACTAGGTTGACACTTCATTTTTAGGTGCTGCTCCAGGCATGCCCTCCTGCAATCTCCATTGAACTGGGGTTGATCCCCTGGTTTGATAGTAATGGTAGAGTTGGGGATATGCCGGTCCATGAGGTTGCAGAATGCATTAGAGTATAATTCTGCTGCTGTTGATGGCCCAGAGTGCCTCATGGAAGCCCAGTCCTGAAATGTGTCTCCACAAGGACAATGCGGTAGTCACTCTTACCAGTACAGTCATGGATAAATGCATCTGTAGCTGGCAGATTGGCAAGGATGAGATCAAGTATGTTTTTCCTTCTTGTTTGTTCCCTCACCACTTGTTGCATAGTGAGCTAACCTCACCAATCCTTCTAGTCTCATTCTGTACCCACTGTTGCCTGTTTGAGCCCTGACACCATGTCCTTTATCACCCAGTATTACCCACACCCCCTCCGCACCTTCAGCAGGCCCATTGACTGACAAACAAAACCCTCATTATACCCAACTTTATTGTGGACAATTGCATTGATGTTGTTGTTCTGGTTGAAAATTGGCTCATGGGTGCAGTATTTGTCCCCTGTCTGAAGCTATCCAATTGGCTACACATCCAACCATCTGCCGCTCTCAAATCACTGAGGTGTCCTGGCCCATAACTCCAAATCTCCCTTTGGTTTCCCTGCCTACTTCTATGACAACTTCTCCTTTCAGCACTTGACCTTTATTCATTTACCTTACCTCTCCTTTACAAACCTTATAATCTACTGCTCCCATGAGGTTTCTCAATGAATTTTCTCAATTCTTCTTCCTTACTTATCAGATTCAAAGTCATTCTGCTATTTAGTCATTATGTTTATCACTACATCTCACTCTTTTTCCTTTGGATTCACTGACTTCCTCAAAGCTTTTCCTTCTTTAGCCTGTTCTCACATGGCCACCCCTTCAAGTTGCCATCTCATGTGAATTTCCCACTCCCAAATCTCAAGCACAGACAAAACTATCTCTATGTATTCCTCGCCCATGTCCCACTTATTTGTGTACCTGTGCCTCTATTAAACCAACTGTATTACTTGTGATGAATCCCGATAGGAGTAATATGATGATGAGTCTTTGCAGCACTTATTGTAATGGATCTTACATTTGACCAGAGAAGCCTGACTAAAATTGATTATCTTTGTTCTCTCTCCTCCAAGCAGCACAATGATGTATGTCTGCAGGGTTCACCAGGTATTCCTGGCCGGGACGGTAATCCTGGAACAAATGGGATTCCAGGAACCCCAGGGATCCCAGGACGAGATGGACCTAAGGGAGAGAAAGGCGAGTGTATGCAAGAACGCCTCGAGGAGCCCTGGAGAATCAACTACAAGCAATGTGCCTGGAAAGCACTCAACTATGGCATAGATCTTGGCAAAATCGCAGTAAGTGTGGCTGCACAAACCAGATGTAGCGCTAGATCACTAGTTCATAGCACTTGTCCAAATTAATTTGTTAAAGTCTAGCAATTTGTGGCGAAGAAGAGACAAACCAAAAATCCTGACTCTTCGCAAGTTCCCAAAACCAAAAAGAATCATGTTCTACATCCCCAGAAGGGGAATAATATGTCTCGTTCCAGCAGTTCCTCATGTTTTTCTTACTTTTTATCTGTATGGCAAGATAGGCTGCATTGTCAGGCAGACACAGCAACATCCAGCACTTTACAGTTCACTGTTACATTTAGGACATTACTGAGGCTCTGTATGCAAACAAAGGCAACTTCATTTTATTCTCTCCTCACAGAAACAAGTCAGCAGGGTGAGCCTGAAGGTTTAGAATAGGTTGTGGATGTCTCCAGAGCTGCATACTATCAGGGATTGCACTCACTGCCTTGTACTGCACTTCATGTCAACTTTGCCATTTTCTTGCTCTGAAGAGATTCTAGTGTCTTCATGTGCAACAGGTGTGTGACCACAAGCAGCAGCATCCTGCAGGCCAATGAGTGGTAATATGAACAAATAAACAAAGAACAAGAGTAGACCACTTGGACCTAAAACCTGCTTCCCCATTTAATGAAATCTTAGCTGATGTGATTGCAACCTCCAATCCACATCCCACCTTACCACTACGAACGTCTTAACCCTTTGCTTGCCAAGAATCTATCCACCTCTGACTTAAAAAAGAAATTCAGACTGTGCCTCCATTGCCTTTTCAGGAAGTAAATTCAAAAAACTGAGAGAAAGAAATTTTAATGATTTTTACAGAGTGATCCCTAGTTCTACATTCTCATGCAAGAAGTACACCCCGACACACCCCCCCACACACAGATGTACACTGTCTCTCTCTCTCATACACTCTGACGTACACTGTGGCTCTCACACGCACGCTGATGTACACTGTCTCTCTCTCTCTCTCCCTCTCCCTCACACACACGCTCTGATGTGCACTGTCCCTCTTACTCACACACTGATGTACACTGTCTCTCCCTCTTACACACTCACTAACAGACACACGTGCGTGCACGCTTCCACACACACACACTCTGATGTACACTGTATCTTTCTCTCACTGTCTCTCTCACACACACACACGTACACTGTCTCTCCCCACACTCATTCTCTGATGTACTGTCTTTCTCAGGCACACACATTCTTGTGTACACTGTCTCTCTCATAAACACATACACACTCTCTGATGTACACTGTCACACACACATACTTTGATATACACTGTGGCTCTCACACGCATGCTAATTTTTATTGTGGCTCTCACATGCCAATGTACACCGTCTCACATGTACACACTCTGATGTACACCATCTGTCTCTCACATACACACTGACGTACACTGTGGCTCTCACATACACACTGACATACACTATCTCTCTCACACATGCACAAATACTCTGACGTACACTGTCATTCACATACACACTGTAATGCACACTGTCTCTCTCCCTGTCTCTCACTCTCATACTCACAGACATGCACACACATTGATGTACACTGTCTCACCCACACACACACACGCTCTGATGTATACTGTCACACACGTATACAGTCTGATGTACACTGTCTCTCATACAAACTCTGATATATACTGTCTGTTTCGCATACACACATTCTGATGTAAACTAGCTCTTACACACCCGCTGATGTACACTGTCTCTCACACAGACATGCACTCTGTGATGTACACTGTCTTTCTCAGACACAAACACACACTCTGATGTACATTGTCTCTCTTACACACACCCACTCTCTGTTGTACACTGTCACACGTAGACATGCACTATGATGTACACTGTCACTCTCACACACACTCTGATGTATGTTGTCTGTCTCTCTCTCTCTCATGCACGCACACACTCACACAAATAAACTGTCTCTGTCACACACACACTCTACACTGTCTCTCTCTTGCGTTCTCTCACTCTATATACACTCTGTCTCACACTCTCTCTGTACACTTTCTGACACACACAACACTGACGTACACTTTGACACACATGCGCTCTGATTTTCACTCTCATATGCACTCTGACATATACTGTCTCCTTTTCTCCCACACACACACGCACACACACTCTGACATACACTGTCTCTCACCCACATACACTGTCTTATGTCACTGTGCCTGTCAGATGCATGCTGATGTACACTGTCTCTCACACACATGTACTCCGAAGTACACTGTCTCTCACACACACGCTGATGTACACTGTCTGTACTTCAGTGTGCGTATATGTGAGACAGACAGTGTACATCAGAATGTGTGCTTGTGTGTGCGAGACAGCACACATCAGAGAGAGAGTGTGTGTTTGTGTGTGTGAGAGAGAGAGAGTGTGTGAGTGTGAGAACGTTTAAATGAGAGAGAATGTGTACATCACCGAATAATATTTATTTGTCCGTGTGGATCTGTGTGCGGATATCACAGTGTATATCACTGAGTCATATGTTTTCATCTGTGTGTGAGGGACATGTCTTTGTTTGTGTGAATGCAGTTGTGTGATACAGTACATCTGCATGCTTTAGCTTGTGTGAGCGTGCGAGAGTTTACATTACTGAGTGCTGTATGTGTGTGAGAAAATGTACATCAGGGTGTGTTTCTGTGTTTGAGAGACAATGTATATCAGAGTGTGTGTGTATGAGACAGCATGCATCAGAGAGAGAGAGAGCAAGAGAGTGTGTGTGTGTGTGTGTGTGTGTGTGTGGTGTGTTTACATGAGAGAGAAAGCGTACATCAGAGAGTGTGTGTCTAAGAAAGACAGTGCACGTCACAGAGTGTGTGTGAGAGAGACAGTGTACATCAGAGTGCGTGTGAGAGACGTAGTGTACCTCAGAGTGTGTTATGCGATAGACAGTGTCTCACATATACGCACACTGAAGTACACTGTCTATCGCACAGACACACTCTGATGTACACTACGTCTCTCACACACACTCTGATGTAAACTGTCTCTCTCACATACCCACCAATGTACACAGAGTGTGTGAGTGTACATTGGTGGGTATGTGAGAGAGACAGTTTACATCAGAGTGTGTGTGAGAGACGTAGTGTACATCAGAGTGTGTCTGTGCGATAGACAGTGTACTTCAGTGTGCGTATATGTGAGACACTGTCTATCGCATAACACACTCTGATGTACACTACGTCTCTCACATGCACTCTGATGTGCACTGTCTCTCTCACACACACTCTGTGACGTGCACTGTCTTTCTTAGACACACACTCTCTGATGTACGCTCTCTCTCTCATATGTGAACGCACACATACACACACTCTCTCTCTCCCTCTCTGATGTATGTTGTCATGTACACACACACTCTGATATACATTGTCTCTCAAACACAAACACACCCTGATGTACATTTTCTCACACACATACAGCACTCAGTAATGTAGACTCTCGCACGCTCACACAAGCTAAAGCATGCAGATGTACTGTATCACACAATTGCATTCACACAAACAAACACATGTCCCTCACAGACAGATGAAAACATATCACTCCGTGATATCCGCACACAGATCCACACGGACTAATAAATGTTACTCGGTGATGTACACATTCTCTCTCATTTAAACGTTCTCACACTCATGCACATTCTCTCTCTCTCTGATGTATGCTGTCTCGCACACACACGCATATGTTCTGATGTACACTGTCTCTCACACACAGAATCACTACACTGTGGAAACATACCCTTAGGCCCAACCAGTCCACACCGAACCTCAGAGCATCCCACCCAGACCCATCCACCTAATCTATACATCCCTGAACACTGCGGGCAGTTTAGCATGGCCAATCTACCTAGCCTGCACATCTTTGGACCATGGGACGAAACCAGAGCACCCGGAGGAAACTCACGCAGACACGGGGAGAATGTGCAAACTCCATACGGACAGTCGCCCGAGGATGGAATTGAACCCGGATTGTTGGTGCTGTGAGGCAGCAGTGCTGACCACTGTGCCACCACACCACCCTGATGTACATTGTCTCAAGCACATACAGCACTCCCTAATGTAAACTCTCGTGTGCACATAGAAACTAAAAAATAAAGATGTACTGTATCACACACTTGCACTCACACAAACAAACACACGTCCCTCACACATGGATGAAAACATGTCACTCAGTGATGTACATGTGATATCCACACGGACAAATAGATATTACTAGGTGACACACACACTCTCACTTACACACTCTCACTCTCACACTATCTCGCTCTCATACCATTCACACACACACACACACACACACACAGAAACAAGTGTGCATGTAGTTGATCACATGGGTCTGAAGGATTTTCACTGTCTCACACACGGACAGAGACACACACACGCTCAAAGACTCATCACCCAGGGATACCCACTACATTTCTCTCAGTGGTGTCCACTAATTCACTCACAGACACAGACAGTGTCACACACACTCATAAGCATCACCCACATATAATCAAAGCCACAGATACTGACAAACCCTCACAGAGAGAGACACATACACATACAAGCTGACACACACACATTTCCCCCCAAAATCTCTTGATCACATTGCAGCCTACAACTCACTCTCGGGCATTTGTAATCTCAAATTCAAATACAAATGCAAACATCGGAGTTATTAATTGGATCCAGTCCTGGGTATCAGTTAATCAATTTATAAACCCCCTGAATCCTTCAATTAGATTCCAGCCTGCAAGGTCAACAAGATGGTGAAGAAGGCATTTGGCATGCTTGCTTTTTTGGGTGTTGAGATATCATGTTGCGGCTGTACAAGACATTGGTTAGGTCATACTTGGAATATTGCATTCAATTTTGGTCTCCCTGTTGTAAGGAAAGATGTTGTTAAACTTGAAAGGGTTCAGAAAAGATTTACAAGGA